TATATAATATTATTATTATTATTATATTGGTGGGTCTTGATTGGCTGGGTTGAGCCATACATCACAGGTTAGCAGTCATTCGTTTAGGGTTGATTTAAAAGGCTGACTTTCTCCCATAGCTGCAGCTCCGGGTTCAGAAGGGCGGCCGTGCTGAAATGACACAATGTTAGGTGCTCAGCTGATTTATCCTTCAATATAAGAAGAAGATTAGTATTTCGTGTCAAACAATTAGCATGAGGAGTCCTTGGAATAAATTCATTATGGGCCCTTTGTGAAGAGAGGATTTTCATTAGACCATGGCTGTTATCCATCTGCTGCCCTCGGAACGGGTAAATGATACATGATGTGTATACCTTGCTGGGTACTTGTGTTGGTGAGTGGAGATGGCAGGGCTACAATTAAAAGCTTGGGTCTGGCCACTATAATAGCTATATTAATAAAGGCAGGATGGAGAACGATACAAAGGTGAGCCACGATGAATGAGGGTTTATTAGGGAACAGACTGAATGGGGGACCCTTAACATCTACAAACAAATCCGAAAAGGGGGGCGAAGGGGCAGCATGAGGAGCTGAAGGCTCCTAGACACTAAGGGCAAGTGTCCAGCATGACCCTATTGTGTCCCTATACATTTACCAGGCAAGCTGACAGCCTCTAAAAAGACAAGTGTTTACTGACTTAACCCTAAGCGACAGCAGCTGTCAGCGACACTAGCAACAGGCAACCATCACTGACTCCCATTATCAGCCTTAAATGGCGTTTAATGTGTCACTGCCTTGTACTGGCCCTATCTGCACTGGGCATCGCACTTAACGATTTTTATTGCTGTGCTGTGTTATCGTAAAATGTGATATATGATGATAGGCCCCGTGACCCGGTGTCCTCAGAATTACTGTAACTAATATATAATTACTTTGTTAATAAATTGTAATCTTTGCAGGTTCTCCTAACTTCAGTACCAGTTCTGGTCCACGATGAAAAGCCCCTTGTGTGTGTCATGGATGAGGCTTTGTACACACAGCTCGCACTATTCATTTGGCTTGATTTTCTTTCTAGTGTCTTTGCTTGCTTTTTGTTCCTTTAATTTGGTAATGTTGTATTTTGTGTAACCAAACGTTATATAAGGTTATATAGTATTACTAACATTGCACCTTTATTATGTACTGCTGATAAACTTGTCTAGAAAAAAAAATTTACTAATACATGAAAGGCAAATTATTGATGTGTTTAAAATTTTCAAATGTATCTTTAAATTTTGTAAAATTAACCTAAAATTCTACTCTAACTGACATTGTGCTGTTTTATGCAGTCTGTCAGTTAGATCAGTTGATAGGATTGATACAGTCAACATGTATGAGATAGAAGAACATTAAAAAGAGAGATGTGGGATACATGGCTGTACTTAAAATGCAGTTTTGGGTGTTGTGCCAATCCAATGAAATTGTAGTATAAAGAAATGATAGTGTAGACTAATTCTGCAATAGGCAGGGAAGAGACATGCTGTGTGTGTGTGTGTGTGTGTGTGTCACGTGGCCTTACTTGAATTGATATTACATACCTGGATAGAGAGAAAGGGGGAACAGTGGAAGTCGGACAGTGGAATTTTTTTTTACAGCATGGTTTGGCATTTTTGAATGAACAGTGTTTGTAAGAGGTAAGAGTTAAACTCTTGTCATGGTGTCTTTACATCTCTCTCTCTAAAAAATATTCATATATATATATATATATATATATATATACACAGACATATATATATACAAACACACACACTTTTTTTTCTTTATAATGCAGGAATTAAGAGAGTTGCAGGACAAGTAGATGAAGTGAACATGTTTGATGTGTTTGAGAGAGAGAAGATTCCCTAGAGGGAATAACTGAATCATGTCAAACCTGTTTATCTGCAACTGGCTCTTTTCTTGCAATGCGATCATTAAGCACATGAGCTGCCTGGCCACTCCTTTCATTGCTATGACTTCCATTCATCACTTCGGTTTTGTCTTACTGTATCTTCTCCGGATAACCTCGAACTTATCGTTCATTTCCCCTCCCTTGTGTTATCCTTCCTTATGGATGTATGGATGCATGTGTCTGTCTATCTCCCAGCCTCTCTGTCTTACTGTACAATTCCTGATAAAGGCAGACAACAGCCAAAAAGAGTTCTGTCCTGTCAGGAATTTAAGAATACATGGGAGATTATGGATACATAGAAAAAGATAAAAATACGTAAATCGGAATGTTCTTTCACATGATTGAATGATGGAAGTAAATATTCCAACAATCTATTCTATTTGTCCAAGCCTTGTTGTAGGTGCTATTCAGGTGTCAGGGAAAAGGAAACGATCCTTGATAATTGAAGAAATAGATCTAAGGGTACATACACAATAGAATCCAAACCAATACAAGTCGGGTTGTACATTGGAGATTAGGACCTATTCAACTTTCTCCGCAAATACACAAAAGAGATCGGAATTACAGATTTAGGCATAACAAATCTAAGACACATTAATAAAATAAAATAATTCTATGTATCATTGTTATTATATAATGATAACATGATAATGATAACATGATTGTATTTGGTACATGTGTTGTCACCTTCTCTGGGCAGTTCTTGGCTCTGTGGAGAAAGTCACACTGTAGGGAAAGCAGATCTCTGCTCAGAGAAGCTGATAATAGCACAGCAAGCTGAGATCAGTAATTCATAGGATGGTGGAGTAGAACGAGAGAGGGGATCACGTGTTTAGATGGGGTGGGGGGGGGAGGGGGGTTGCTGAATCAGCACTTTTCCCCCTGACGTGTCATTGCACAAGACTGGCACTGTTAGTAAAAAAGAGTCAGTTTTAGAGTCAGTTTAGACGCCCTCTCCTCCCGGCTCCCGCTGCGGCTGGAGATGAGAGGCACATTACAGTGTGAAAGCTGATCCCCTAGCCGGGGGCACAGGCATCCAAATACCTGACTACTTCTCTGTTCACAGACCCTGACACTCTCCAGCTCAGGGATCTGATCTTTCTCTTTGGGACGCAGCCAGATATGTGTCAGTCTTCTCAGATCAAACAGAAAACGGTCTCAGGAGAAAAGTAAGCAAACCCTCTCCCTCTTTGTTTGCAAAATCAACAAGGGCTTGAAGAGAAAATACGGTGTAAATACGTTGACACAGGGACCAGTTCACAGGTGGTCAGTCACCTCCTGAAAACAAGCGAGATAATGCATGCAGGATTTCTTTCATTCCAAAGTAAAATGACAGGAAAGAGGAAGAAAACAGAGAAGGGATGGAGAGAAAGGACACAGAGGAGGGGAAGAGAGAGAAAGGAAACAGAGAAGGGAAAGAGAGAGAAAGGAAACAGAGAAGGGAAAGAGAGAGAAAGGAAACAGAGAAGGGAAAGAGAGAGGAAGAAAACAAAAAGGGATGGAGAGAGGAAGGAAACAGAGAAGGGAAAGAGAGAAAGAAAACAGAGAAGGGAAAGGGACAGGATGGAAATAGAAAGGAGAGAGAGGAGAAAGGAAGGAAGGAAGATAGATAGATAGATAGATAGATAGATAGATAGAAGGAAAGAAAAAGAAAAATAAAAGAAAAAGAAAGAATGTTACTTGTCATAAATAGGAGGTTGGTAAATATAGATTGAAGAGAAGATACATGGAGGAAAGAAGGAAAGTAAATAAGAGAGGAAGGAATAAGGGAAGGTCAGAATGATGGAGCAATAAAAGCAAGAAAGGGGGAAAAAAATAAAGCAAGGAAGGAAAATTGTAATGAAAGAAGAAAGAAAGAAAGAAAGGAAAATGGAAAAACAAAGAAAGATGAAATGAAGGGAGAACAGAAAAAAAGGAAGCAAAGAAAAAAGAAAGAAAAAAGAAAGGTAATTGGTCATTAAAGGATGATAGTAATTATAGTTTAAAGAGAAGATAAAAAGACAGGAAGAATGGAAGGAAGTTAGAAAGGAAAAATGAATAAGGAAAGGTCAGAATGAAGGACACAAAGAAGAAAGAAAAGCAGAAAGAAATTAGAAAATAAAGGAAGGAAGGAAAACTAGAATGAAAGAAGGAAGCATGAAAGGAGCAAAGTAAGGAAAGAAGGAAGAAAGAAAGGAAGGTAGAAAGGAGGGAAAGAGGAATGAAAGGAAAACAGGAGATTGAGTGGAAAAAAAGAGAAAGAAGGAAAGAAAGAAGGAAAAGGAAAGGGGAGAAAATAAAATAAAGTGAATGAAATAAAAGGGATACAAAAGATAGCAGCTATTAAAGAAAGGAGAGAGCATTAGCAATGAGTGAGTGGAGATGTAGAAGGAAAAAGAAAGAAAACTAAAGTCAATACACAGAAATGGGGGAGAACAGAATGATTTGGAGCAGGAGGACAGACAGAAAAGGGAGAGAGGTGAGATAAGATAATAGGAGAAGATACATTAGTAGGGGAAGAATTGAATGTGAGATAGTGGGAAAGGATGAAGGAATATACAGAAGGATGAGTCCTATGAGGAAGAAAGGAAGATAAAGGGATCTCCTGAGGAGAGCAAGGGAAGCAAGATAAAATAAGAGGAGAAAGATGAAATGGGAAGGGGTGGCGGGTACAGAGAATCCTGGGGAAGAGAAGAGGATGGAGCTCAGGAATACACACAGTGCTGCAGAAGAGCTTTCCATCACAGACTAACATGTAAAATAGATGTCAGATGCACAGTCAGTA